AGCATCTTCAAGGGTGGATCTTATCAGAGCTGGTTCCTTGGGCTTTCATTCTGCCACATACAAACTTTAAAATAATATGCGGTTCTATACAGTTATTTGTATGGAATGTGCAGTCTACAAAGGGCACGTAAAGAAGATTCTCTGTTCTTTGAACAGGTGAAAGACAAATGTCTTTCTTTAGAAGATAGTTTGATCATAAACCAAATTTTAATCTTCATTCATGCCATATGAAAGGATGGCATGATGAATATTGAGTAGTCTGTAGTCAGCAAGATGCATTGGCTGTATGTAGATGAAGTTCTGGCTAGAGAGTGTTAAGAATCAGCCAGTGCCAGAAGCTGTCCTTATATACAATTGTCAGCATATATATTACCTATCTTGTTGATCTTGTCAATTTTCCTCTTCTTGTCTGTACACAACATCCTCTATGGTTCTACCTCTGTCAAATCAGATCCCTATTACAATGTAATGAGTACAAAGGCTTTTGTTCTTTCCTATCAACACTACCCTGGATCCTCATTCCAGACATAACATGCCTTTGGTCCAGCAGTTTGAATTCATTAAAAGAATAGATTGATCCAATTTACCAGCCTCCTTTTTACCTAGGTCTGCTATATTTTGACCTCTTTCAAATAGAACGTTCAAAACCATTACCACTGAACTTATTACCACCTTAATTTTGATAATTTAAAACAATTAAAACAATTAAAAACCATTATTATTATTTATTGAGACAGGGTTATTATATATAGTCCAGGCTGACTTGAATTTGATTTGTAGATTAGTCTGGCCTCAAGCATCCAAGGAATCTTTCTGTCTCTTCCTTTGTCTCCCAAGTATTCAGATCAAAGGCGATGATTTATTTGGTATCATTGTACCATTGAAAATGTTTATATCAATTTTTATTTCTTTCTCCCTTCCTTGGAAATTAATATCTATGTAGATTTATCTTACTTTATTTTTCTTAATTTAATACCCTTTTCTATATTCAACTTTATTTAAATTTATTTAAATTCCCTTTCATTTAGTATGAACATATTCCCAGGCCATCATATATCAGAACAGAGATTGTGGATCATCCGTGTTCCATGTGATAGGGTGAGACATGATCAATTTTCTCATGGTATCCCACATTTTACAAAATCCATCCTAAGTCCAGCATGACATCTTCTTTTAAATTAGCTCTCATGAGCCACCGTTAGTTCTCTCATGGGAGCCCTATATTCTAAAGAGACAGATTGGCTGCTCAGAATATTTACCATTAGCTTTCACAAACATAGCTTTTCTTTTTCTGTTTGATAAGAGCAACAGAACACTTTTTAACCCTAAATCTGGGTCTCCACATTTACCATGTACCAGTCAAATGTATCCTTCCTTGGGCAAAATTATTTTTGTAAACAGAAAATAATTAATTTTCAAATTGAAGTTATAAAAACACTTTGTGTGAATAAATATACCTATATTTCCCTTTTGCTTTATATAAATTTAAGACTTATGTATATTTATTTTTTTTTAATTACTATGGACCTTCCTAATCTTAATTGTAATTATGCAAAACCTATATAGTACCTTTAAAGAAAAACACATTATTTTGAATTCAAGCCAGTTGTCTACAAGTATCTATAAGTAGAAGGTCTCACTCTGATTTTACTGTGTAGACCTGGCTGGTCTAGAAGTTACAGAGATCTGCCTGTCTCCATCTCCTGTGTTTGTTGTGTTTTACCTCAAACATTGCTGTGCACCTAGCCATGTCACCATCCCTTTGTTTACATAAAGAGAGGCCTTTTATCTTTCTGCTCAATTATGGCCAGGGCAGCCAACCTAGAGCTGTAATTCTGTACACCATAAAAGCATTAATTCCTATAGGACAGGATTGGGTCCACTGGCTATGCCAGGCATGGGAGAACCTGAAGGGGTTTATCCAGAAACTAAGACCTCCTTCCAAACCACTCAGTAGGTTCCTGATCCTTGGCTAGAAAACCTCATTCCAAGACACATGTCTTGTGATGTTCTGAGAAGCTTTGGCTTTGATCTGTTTTCATTAATTTTTTAAGAGTCTAGACTTCTTGACCGGCTAGCCCTACACTTCCCTGCTTTTTACCCATGCCTTTTAGGGATATAAGTTTGAGTTTTGTATATATGCTAGGGATGTATCACCAGCTAATCTAATACATGACTTGAGACAGGAAATATTGTACATATGAATAATGTCTGTAATGTCTGGCCATAGATTCTTTATTACTGAGGCTAAAATGATTTCTATTTGGGATGAATTTATTTTTCTATTTTATTTTAGATTTTTTATTTGATATGTACAAATATTTTCCCTATATCTAAATCTGTGTACCATGAACATGCCTGTTGCCTATTCAGGTCTAAAGATGGTGTCAGATTCCCTGGGACTGTAGTTACAGTCAGATGTGAACTACCATGTGCTTGCTAGTAATCAAACCCCAGGTCCTCAGCAGAAGAAACAATTGCCTTTATCCACTCGTGAAACTCCTTAGCATTCATTTGTTTGTTCATTTATTAAGTGCTTGGAATGAAACACAGTGGGATAATCACTGTTCTCTGTAAACACACCTCAAGACTTTGATCATTTCCCTACATAAAAAGTGGACAAAAATTCACTCATGAAAATCAAAAACTGCTTCAATATTAAAAAACTAAAAAGTAAAAATAAAAGCCAAATAATACTTTCAACTTCTTTATATTAATTATTGAAAATAATTAGAGGGGAAGGATGAAGCAGTTACCCCACCTTCTTGATATGTATGAGAATGCAGAGTTAGCAAATAGACATAGTAGGTAAGTTCAAACTCTAAAATCTTTTCACATAATTTGAAGCACATAAAAATATGACCTTGAAGAATGCTGATATACCATTGATACAAACAGGGACCATATGAAGATGAAACTGTTTGTTAAGGAAACCATTAGGCTTAGGTGAAATTAAGCCTTCTCCTCAAGGATCCCCCAATAATTGCATCAAATCTTGTATCAGTAAGGGGCAGGTACTATAAGACACATATATGGTAACATTCAGTAGAAAGCACATGGCACCAACCAGGAAGTGCTTTTTCTAAAGATGTCAACCAGAGTTAGTTAACTAACAGGAAATTGATTGAATTTGTTCTACAAAGCAAAATTATTAAAATTGCATGGGAAAGATGCAGAAGGGGACACTACACAACTGTATGTGTGGGTGTGTACAAGTGTGACTCAAAAATTTAAGCGTTAGACTGAACAAATAACCTGGAATTAAACTAAAGAATAATTTGTGGGGCAATAACATTTTCAAGAATTTAATTTTAAATAAAAAGGTCTTAAACTCTAAAGGAAATACTATAGTCAGACAAGGAAATCTCCATTTGCAATTTGAGATGAAAGGCTGTGATACCTGGAATTTTAAAAATTTAGGAGAAAATGAATTCAAAGGGCTGAAGGTAGATGAGATAAACATAGCAAAAACTCCAAAAATAGTTGTGCATATATTATATTGAGATTACTTACACCAGTGTTTCAACATTGATGTATTTTATAAAGGTTCATAGAATAAAAAAATATTATCATCCTATGAAAAATAGATCAGTTTTTGGTTTTAGTATTGATTTCAGAGAATAATATCTGAAGTTAAGGAATTTTGATACTCGTGTACACGTATACTATTTTGATGACTATTCTTCAACATATATTTTGAAATATATATATATATATATATATATATACATATATATATATATGAGATATATATATACATATACATATATATATTTAATAGAATAGAGTTTATTCAGGGCATGGGGAAGGGAGTAGAGAGGGTTGTAGAGACAATGAAAGGCAGAGAGAGAGAGAGAGCAGAGGTCATCCATGAGCACATGGAGGGAAAGTGGGAGGGGAATGAGGAGAGAGAGGGGTTAATGAACAAGATGAAAGAGCAGGAGCAAGAAGGCAAGAGCTCTTCATTATCAACTTGACTACATCTGGAACTAGGGCCTCAAAATCAAGGGTATTCATGTGAGGGAATTTTGCCTAATCTGAAGTATAAATATCTAATTCAAATCTAAATTTTTGAGACACCAAGACATGCCCTTTATGGAGATTTTTTAAACTAGAAAAGATATAAATTTAATTTAGATTGTGAGGAAGGGAGGAACATCTTTAATCTAGATCTAATCTAGGACAACCCTTCTGTTGGAATCCTATATTAGTTAGGAACATGGGAGAAAGAAGCTATTGCTCTCAGTCTGCTTGACCCCACCTTGCTATCAAGGCCATTATTTCAATGACATTAGAGCCTTCTTCAGGACTGCAGCATATACTAAAAGCAATGGAAATACCCAACCTTCTGGACTCAACAAATACTGGATTATTGAGCTTTCTGTTTGCAGTCAACCATTATTGGATCAGCTGGATTGAAGCCTGTAATGTCATTGTAATAAATCATGTGTCTGTCTGTAGTGTGCGGATGTCTTTGTGCATGCACACAGGTGCACAAGAGAGAGAGAGAGAAAGAGAGAGAGAGAAGGAGACAGAGAGACAGACAGAGAGACAGACAGAGAGAGAGACAGAGAGAGAATACAGTTGTGTGTGAGACTGATTCTATAAATTCTGTACCTTTTGATAACACAGACTAATGCAACTATGTTTAGTGGTTATTTACCTTGACCAAACCATATTTATAATTTAGATTTTATAACACAAATTGGTAAGTTGGAATGATAAATAAAATCAACAACAAAAAACCCAACCAAACAAACAAAAAACAAAATGCAAATAATCTAAAGCAAACAATTCAACCAAAGAAGTAATAAACCAAATAAGAAAGGATGATAAATGTCATTTTGCCATTTTCTGTCATGGGCTACCCAGGGCATGGCTTGATATCCTTGGAAAATCTAAGTCAATATCTGAGACTCCCATTAGATCTCTGTCTGAGTTCCCAAAGCTACCACCAAGAATTTTGGATTTTCAAGATTATGCATCCAGTAAATTTATTTTCAAACAAGGGGAAGCTTTTCTTTTTCCATTGATGGAGAGTAAGAAATAAAAATTATAGCACTTAATAAAAACAATATGGCAGACACACTTGCCACTCCCATGGCACTTCCAGCTCTTTGAGCATATGGAAAAAGAGGCATCTGTAAAGCAGGCAGGAAACCTACTCCCTCCTTTCTAGGCACAGAGGAGTAATTACACATAACAGCAAGAAAAATAAAGGTGCTAGCAACTGCATTGAGGACAGCTGAAAGAAGAAATGGATTGCAGTCGTGATTCTTCTGCAGCTTCTCTGTGTATAACTGTTGTAGAGCAAAGACAGCGCAAACTGTCCCAACCAGACCAATAATATTTGCAACCAGGAGCAGATGTTGAGCTAATCGAATATCCAAAGGAACAAGGGCATCATGGTAGGTATAGTGATGACAAACTCTCTGATGGCTGGAGTTGTCAACGTGGTGGCAGATACAGGCCCTCCACATACCTATAAAAGCTGTGCTTGGGGAGGAAACCATGGGTTCCTCCAAATACCAAATTCGACATTCTGGAAGGCCCATAGATGTACTGCACAGTATCCATGCGATGGTGGCCAAGGCGAAACCTCTTATTTGGTGATTGGCAGACTTGTTGAACAAGACCATGCTGGCATCAAATATGTGGTGGAATCTAAAAAAGAAATGCAGAGACATATAAAGGTGCCCACTTTGAGCCTTCACTAATGCCCTTGTTTAGCTCCACCAAAATGGTAGTCTTGAGTTAAAAAAAAAAAAGGTAGCCTTTTCTCATCAAGATGTGCTGTTGTAAGTATGGCCTGAGGGGAAAAAAAAACATAGAAGGACCCTGTGACAGTATTTGCTGAGAACTTCCCAATAATCAAATATTAAGAGATTCTGGTGCATAAACTTTATTATTTGGTATACATTACCTTAAACCCAACCCATCCACCAGAGTACTCACCACACATCTAACTAGATGAAAATTGACAACTTAGGAACTAGGGAAATCTTCACCAGGAAGCTAATCTTCAGTGAAGAGAGAATATTAAGCACATATTGAAGTATAATTTTTATTTATTTTTCTTGACCTGTCATGAAATATGTTGGAAAAATACAAAACAGAATACATTTGAATTCTAAGATGACTCGTGGTTTTTCTTTTCTTTTTTGTCTTATGTTAAAAGTATAGCATTTGTGTGTGTGTGTGTGTGTGTGTGTTTGAAATAGAGTTTTACTAGAAATCAGATGAACCATATGCCTAAGACATAGCTTGAATTGAAATTTCAAATTACACATACTAATCTGAAGAATCAGAGAATAAGTGTGGGTTCAGGTGAATGAAAGATAAAACAAGAGAAGAAACCAAAATCTGCTTGTGGAAAACACCAAGGTTACCTGCAGGTTATAGAAGGACTATCATGAATTGGTCCACAAAATAAGGGATTTTGAAGTCAGATCCCTAAAATCACTTCCAGTGGCCAGAGCAACCCGAGCAGGGACCATATAAATAACCATCATTGTCTTTGGTTAAATATTCTGGCTCAATTGTTTTTGGTATTATTATAGGTTGAAGCTAAAATATTGTACATAATAGACAAGCTGTGTACCATGGGAACTGCCCCTCATTTAAAAGAAAATGTTTTGAGGCAGGTTTTTGCTAAATTACTCAAGCTTGCCTTGAAATCCATATGTATTCTAAGAAAGAATTTTCTTTGTTGCTGGAGTTTTATTTACTTTACTTGAATTATCACCTCATTACGTACACCAGGGTAGCTGCAAATCCTTTGTGTAGCCAAGAATGGCCTTTACTTAACATTATTCCTGCTTCTCCCAGAAAACTAACATTGTACTCAACTCAGATCAACAGATTTAAAAAAAAAAGACTTTTTAATTCCCTATCAAATCTATCTGACAAAATCCCCAAAGAATAAATTTCTAGAGGACATGTGTATAGTCAGGTGGATAAGAAGTATAAGGCAGTTAATGAAGATCACAAGAATCCAGTATAATGGGCTGCATATGAAGGTGACCGAAACAAGTGAAAGTACACCTACCACTTGGAACCCTACACATTCTAAAAATGGAAATGGATCTGAAATGAGGGAGCAGAAATTTGTGTAACATTTCCTCACTATTTAAATGGGCAATTAACAGTAAATAGTCAGGCAGAGACAAAGATTCAGAAATATAGAGACATTGTTCTACAAAATAAACAAGCAAAGACAAAGAAATAGAAATGTAGATTACTGTCCCTGCCAGGCACCAAAAGAAAAAATTGATCATTTTGCAAGCCTAGAGAAAATATACAAATGCAAAATTTAAAGTCCAAAGTTTGAATTCTATTGAGTACATTCTATTTGAAATCTATTGAGTATGTATGTAATTAAAAAGCAAATAATCTGTGTTGGTGAGTTTTTCATATATGTGATCAAAGTACTCCAAAGAAGAAGTTATTGGGAATTATATAGTTAATTGCCATTTTAGAGATGTCAGTCTACAGTCCTTGGCTTTATTGATTCTAGGTGTGTGGTGAGGGAGATCATGCTAAAGATGAGAATAACTGGGAGATTCTACCTCATAATGGACAGGAATCTGAAACAAAAGAAATGATTAGGTATGATTTAAAGTTTAATAGGCACAGTCTCTTGTATCTGCTTTCTCTAGCTATGATCCACCTCCTTAAAAGTGCCCCAAAACTTCAATAATATCAGCATCTGAGAGGTCAAGGATTTAACACCTGAGCCTTTTTTAGTGATAGGCCATATACAAACTATAACTGCATGGTAAATTAGGAGCTGATTTTTCAAAAAGTAGAGTACTTTTCCTATTTATAATATTGAGAGGATGATATATTCTCAAGTATTTACCATAACGAATGAATCTTGAGGATTTTAAACTAAATAAAATAAGTCAGTCTCAAATCAAAGACTGAGTAAATGCAATTAAGGAGGTTCCTGGGACTACAGAGATATGAAATAGAATGGTGGCTAAAGAGGGTTATGGGACTCAGCAAGAGCATTACATTCCATAAGAACAACATTTCATTTGAGAATGATAGACAATAGTGATGGTTCCATAGCACTCTGCATGTTCTTATTGCCATATATGTCATTGTTAAATTTGTATACTTGTATTTAATCACAATACATAGAGTATACAACAAAGAAGGCTAGGGCATGTACTAACGAGCAATGTTGTCTTCAACTTAACCAGTGACAAGTAACGTGGCAGGAATGTCTGATATCTTGAATAAAGGAGCCCACAGGAAGGACACAGAGCTATTCAAGTGTTCCTCCTAGCTCTGCATTCTTGGCCGCAGTACTGAACTTTGAAACTCTGAGTCCTTTCTTGCATCACCACATTCCAATCCTTTATGACCTCACTACCCTTCTCTCTCCACACTCTCTCTCCCCCATTCTTTCTTCCCCTCCCTCTTAATCCCTGCCCTTTTCACACTGTCTTTCCCTTTCCTCTCTCACCTGTCTCTCCCCTCCCCCATGTCTCTCCCTCCCCTCTCCCTGTCTACACCTTGCTCTGCTCATTCTAACCTTTATCTTCCCTCTCTCCTCTCTTTCTCTTCTCTCCCTCTCTTTGCTCTTTCCTGCCTTAATCTTCCTCTCTGTCTCCCTCTCTTCTCTTCTTTCTTTCCCTTCTGTCTTCTCTCTTCTTTCCCCTCCCTTCCTCTCCCTTCTCTCAATCTTTCTCTGCTCTCTCAATCTTTCTCTGTGTCTCTCTCAATCAGCCTTGACTTTCAGTCTCTCTCTCTCTCTCTCTCTCTCTCTCTCTCTCTTTCTCTCTCTCTCTCCTCCATTCTTTCTCTTCTTCCTCTCTCTTGATCTATATTTCTCTTTCTGTCTGGCTCACTTTCACATTTTCCTCATTGTCTTGTTTCACTCTACTTATCCCATTATCCCTCTACCCTGTCTTTCTCTCTCTCTCTCTCTCTCTTAGTATAGAGATTGAGAGTGGAAAAAGATGATAAATGAGTCACAGTTGGATAGAGGAGGAGAGACAAAGATAGAAGGTAATGAGTGATGAAACAGATGAAGATAGTAGGAGAGTGAAAAAGAAAGGGTAGAAGAAAGAGAAAGAGAGATGATGAGAGATGAAGGAATGAAAGTGGGGAGAGAGAAATAAGAGGACAGAAAAAGTGAGAATGTGAGAGTGTCAGAGAGATGGGTGAGATAGAAGGATATGGGAGAGGCAGTATGAAGCAGGGACAGAAACATAGAGTAGTATAGATATGAAAAGGAGCAGAAAATATTGACAAAAACGAGATGGAGGGTAGATGGAGATACATATGAAGAGAGTGTGTCAGAAAGGGAGTGTCATAAATAAAGAGAGGCAGAAATGGAAGGAGACAAAGAGGAGAAAAAAGTAAGAGATAATGGGAGAGCAGTAATAAAAAAGAAAAGAGATAGGAAGTAAGACTGAGAGAGTCATAGAACCATATGAATCTAAAAGAAGAGAAATAGAATCGAAAAAGATGGGAAGGGCAAAACAAAGATGTTGGGCAGACATGGAGGAAGAGGATGGATAAGAAAGTTTGTGATGGATAGTGAGGGAAGGTAAGGGAAGAGAGACAAGGGAAGAAGAGGGATAAAGGGATTAATGAAGTGAGAGGCTGGGAGGACAAAAAAAGGAAGGCATAAAAAAGGAAGAAATAGGAAAAGAAAGTGATAGAACTAGGAATAAATAGAATGAGACAGAGTAGGAGGAAAAAGAGGTGAGCAAAAGCTGTGGCAATGGTTACATGGGTCTTCCTATGCATAGTGACACATATAATCATTGAAAGATGCAGTATACCTGGAGGCAATCCCAGGAGGGCAGTCTTCATGTATATGGTTGGAATTGCATACCTGATTGATGGGGGTAATTGTCTTGGTTAGGGGTTCATTGCTACGAAAGGACACCAAAACCAAGACAACTCTTATAAAGCCAAATATTTAACTGTCTATGGCTAATAATTTTTTGAGATTCTGTCCATTATCATCATGGTGGGATGCACGTCAGAATTTAGTCAGATATGATGCTGGTTGAACTGCACGTTCCTCTTAATCTAGATGCAGTACAACAGAACTATCCTATTAGGCAAAGATGAGCTTTGGAGACCTCAAAGACCTTCCTTCCACTGTAACAAATTTTACCAACAATACCATACCTAATTCAACAAGGCCATACCTCCTAATGGTATCATACTCTAATGGCCCAGCATTCAAACACATGAGTCTATGTGAGCCAGATCCATTCAAACCACTACTTTCCATTCCCTGTCTACCATAGCCTTGATTACATAGCATAATTCAAAATGAGTTTATTGCAACTTCAAACATTCCCAAAGTCTATCAGAGGCTCAAAGACATTTGAATGTCCAAAGTTCAAAGTCTATTCTGAGATTTATGCAATATCTTAACTGGAATTCCCTCTAAAATCAAAATAAAAAAGCAGATCATATAGTTCCAATATCACAGGATGTAAATCTTCCTTCCAAAGTGTCATCATAGAAAATTCTGGACCAACTCATGACCAAACCCCAGGTGGGCAAACTCTAAACTCTGCATCTCCATGTCTGATGTCTAATTCTTTCAGCTTTGTTTACTGCAACACAGTTCTTTCTCTTCGGCTTGTTCTCTGCCCTCTTAGTAGCTGTCCTCATCAGGTAT